TATATATATTTTCATATGTGTAATATATATAAATGTCTATAAACTGGCATTGCTGGGATGAAATCCTGTTTCTTCACAGCAAACTGCCTGGTGCAATGTTTTGTGTGGTGAGAAGACGTGCTGGTAACACCGAACGCTTGGGTGGCTGCTGCCCGGCGCCTCCACAGCACTGCTGCCTCCTCTGCCTCTCACTACCCCCCACACTGGATCCACTGCAGCCTGGGCACACGGCCAGGCAGATGACCTGACTAACCAAAGAGCTCTATTCCACACCATTTAATGTCATACTCATCAACCAAAGGGGAAAGAGGGACTATTAGGCTGGTTAGTCATCTTCTACTTGGGAACTGCCTGGGCAGCAGTCTGCCCACAGGAGGGGGTGACTGACTGCCTTGGGATCACTTGTTTTGCTTTTTTCTCTCTCCTTCCACTTATCCATCCATTATTAGACAATTTTGTTTTGTTTTACCTTGACTTCCAAGTTTTCTTGGTTTTATTCTTCCTTTGCTTTTCCTGTCCCACTGGGAATGGAGGAGGAAGAGAGCAAGTGGCTGCATGGTGCTGAGCTGCCCACCAGGGTTAACCCTCAACAGTATATTTGCCTATCTCCAACAATTTCTCAAAGACAGTATTACTACAAGATATAATTATTTGCTGCAAGTTATCACAGAGAGGGGTAAAAATTATTTTCTGCTGCCGTTTTGATTAACTTCCTGAAAATAGGAAGCTTCAAGGTTAACTGCACTGTTTAAAAATTCATTTTAATTAAAAGGCCTAACTACTGCAGAGAGAGAGAAACCCACCAATTTTATACAGAGGATAACAAAATAATGCATTCAGAGAGAAAGGAAGCAAATTACATTCACATCTACTATTGCAAGAATGTAGAGAGAAAAAAAGTAATTATTTTCTAGGCTGATGACCTCAATGAACATACACTATTCTGCAGTGATGAAATTAGAAACTTTTTTACCTTGCCACAGTGAAACTGTCTGGAGGCAAAAGCCGAGCAAGTTGAATAAAGATGTGATTAAGGGAAGCACAGAATCCACACCACTGTGCATAATAGAGCAGCAACACATTCTGCAAAATTAAATGGAGAAGAGTTTGATTATCTACTGTAGTTAATCTGCACTAAAGGAAGACTAGTCTTCACAACATCTAAAACTTGGAACCCCTAAAATGTGAAAGGAAACAATATCCTAATGTTAATAAACTTTATTATAAGCTATTTATTGATGTCCTCTGTCTACTGAGTTAACACACAAAAGCTCTTTGTCAACTCTTGTTCAATAAGAAAAAATGAAGATGATTATTTAGATTACTTAGTTTAGGATCATTACCTTTAAGCAAAAATGCACTAAACTTTACTACCCTTCCTGAAATTCTTTTGTAATCTTAAATTCTGTGTATTTACACAGTGACTGTATACTTCATATGGGGAAGAAAATGAAAAAAGAGATGAGTTAGGACTGCTGGAAATCAGTTACCAGAGATGCATACATTCACTGCAGACCTGAAAGGCAAATAATCCTTACAATCCTATCTTTAAGAAATCAAAGTAATTCAACTACTGTTCAGGATGACATCTTATGTAAAGCAATTTCATGGTATGCAATTGGAAAGCTTTTATGTGGTAGAGCTTGGGGATTTTTGTGGTGCTTTCAAGTAATGCTGTGGGTTTACAACATTTTTTTTCCCCATTATGTCTACTTTGCAATAATATTTAACTTCTTCTGAAGTAAGGGTTTTTTTTTCTAAAAATGCGTATGTAGAAAAAGAGCTGTGGTATATGTATTTCCTATCAGGTACAAAACACAGAAATCAAGAGTATTCTTCAATGTTACCTCAAACTATGTATGTGCTTCTGCTACAGTGGAAAAAAGAAAAAGGAAAACAAATCAAGTCACAGATGCCTTTTTTTCTTTTTAAATTAAAATCTACATCTTAAACACAAAGGAAAAAACCAACACTTCCTCAAAAAGAAACCCAAACCAAATCAAACCAACCAACCAAACCCCAAATACTCAACAAACTTTGAACTATGGCAGAAACCTGTCAGGGAACCAACTGCAGCATTTTACACCAGATGATCTTTTGCAGATTTACTTAAGATCACACTATCCCAAATTGCCTTTTTAGAAAAAAAAAAAGCACCTTCTGAATTGTTACAAAATAGCACAGTTGATGTTACAAATGAGCAAAGCCCATAAATGTAAAAAACCAGAATGAGACCCCCTCCTCAGAAGGCTGAGCAATGGTTTGTAAGGAACCTTTCCAATAGTGAGGCATGTACCTTTTCACTCAAAATCACAGTCTCTTGAAAGGTACCAGCAGTCACTTCAGTGATGACACGCTGTTCGTGAAAATGGACTGAGGGCTCATCCACAAGATGCCTTCTCAAGGGACTGTAGAGAACACTGAAATTTTTTATGAAGTTCTCTGAAATAAAATTGACACAAAGTTTTTTCAGTTTAACAAATATGTGACTTTGAGAGTTTTGACTTTAGAAACTTTTGACTTTCTTCCACAGAAGAGCTTCCAGAGAAAACACAAATTAAACCCTAGTTTCATGTCATCAATGTTGACAGTTACGGTATCAACTCTTACTAACTACCACTGATGTGAAACAAGATACAACTTCTCCTTTTGTTTTGCTTGTTACACTCTTCTTCAAGTGCCACACTGCTCTCCAATGTTGCTTCTACTCCTATTCAATGTACTATACTCATTTCCTACCCTCGTAATCTAACCATACATCTCTTGTAGGTCATAAATAGTACCCACCTACCATTTTTCACTTTCCACATCGCATTGAAGTATCTGGACTTATATCTTGAAGGCTCCATTTAATTTCACATTTGTTTGCCTTTACTCTTTCATTTTTAATTATGTTCCCTGTAATTCTCCTTTTGCTTTCAACCTTTAAAGACTGTGCTACTCCCATGGCAATATCACCAGTAACCTTTTGGTTATCAGTGATCACCTTCCTCTTCATTCAACTTTTTCTTTAGTTTTAAGATATTTAACAAGTAGCTGGCCAGTGGTAAAACTTCAAAACCCACAACCACCTACACTACTGAGCCTGGAGCATGTTTTCCAAATGCAAGATATCACATGTACCCTTCTTTTCAATTTACACAGAGACACATTATTGAGTGCATTAGAAAATAAATATTCACAATCAAGACAAAAAATACAATATCAAACACACTAAAAATAATTATTTGATCAAATAGAAAAACATCTTGTGCTGGGATTTCCAGACCAAAACTGCACCCAAGTAAAACTGGCACTTTTGTACATGCATACAAAATACCAGATCATCAAGTTTATCTCTGAAATGCAAACAGAAGTACATCTAATTTTATATTTACTATTCCAGATTTCATCAAATTCTCACATCAGACCAAAACAAGTTTCTTTATTCCCCCTCGATTTCCAGATTTGGAATATCCATGCATGGTTAAGTAATAACTGAAAGGAGGGGGCTGATTAAAAGACATACTTCTGAATTTTTAGAAACAATCTGTAAAAACTAAATTCTTTTAAAGGTATTAAACACATATCTGTTTTGTTATTTTAAAATATCAAAAGTTGAGAGACTTAAGGAAGTAAAACAAGTGAAAAAAAAAAAAAAAAACACCAAACCACACACACAAAAACCCTGAACATAAATTACACTGACTCCTTGAAAAATATGTAGAGCCAAAAATTTTCTGTAAGTTCAAATGATTTGGAATAGAAACACACTGAGTGTTACTCAGCAAAGAACACTTTGTCATGCTCAGGAAATCCTCTGACATGAAAAAAGTTTGAGACAGAAAGTACTGGGAGCAGAAAGGGGAAGGAAATTTATCTCTCCTCACCCTGATCTTAGATTTTCCTAAGCATCCTTTTATGGTCACCGTGGGTTCTGTTTATTTTTCCAGAGTGCTTTTCTGGGAATTTGGGACAGAGACAATACAGGGCTGCATGAGATCCTTAACAGGCACACAGCTACTCGTCCTATGTGTGCACACTTTCGTACTTAGAAAAATGGAAATGTAATTAATGCTCTAAGAGTTATAGTGATCCAGCTCCTTGAAAACTTTTAGTACTATCATCACCTGGATTCATTCCCATGGTTACTTACACTGCTAACATTAAAAACCTCTGCATTTTCTGAAGGTGGACTCAGTTTTGCACATCATCATGTCAGTAAATGCACTTGGCCAGGCATGCTGGGTCTTACACAAAAACTTGCAAATACATCAGAACTGCAATTGTTGCACTAGTTGGGGTTTTGGGTTTGTTTTGGCTTTTTCTTTCCTCCAATTCAGCCAGGAAATAGTGTCGACAGATCTGGCTAAAACCTCTTCAGATCTCCACCTTGAAAATACACATGCTTTTCAAAATAAATCTAATACAATTTCTGAGTTGGTTTCAGAGGACAAGAGGAAGGGCCAGTCTCTGCTAAATTGGCAGTATCTTATGGAATTCTGGGATATGTCAGTACATAAAACAGCTGAACAAACACAAATGCCACCATTCATATACAAATGTCTTCTGTAATATCAAATGTTTTAGATGCATGGTAATTTTTTTGCCACAAGCAAATTAGCTTACATTTTACCAATTCCTTCAATGCATCAGGCAGTAAAGAATCACACATTTTTAGCTTCACTTCTTTTAAAGCAAATTACTTTTGGTATATGAAAATATAGTTCTTATGTCATCTAGAATACAATTCTACTGCCTGGTTAACTACTAAATTGGAATAGAATAAATTACAGAATGTTGACTATAGTGTCACTTCTCAAAATGGCATTATTTTCCATTCACAAGCTTACTTGCAAACTTAATTTTTTTTATTTCAAGCATTTATATAGGGGATACCATACCTAGGGTAGATCCAGCAAGTGACTGATTTTGATCCAGGACATAGTGCACTTCCTCCTTCAGGTCAACAATGACAGCAAATTCTTTAAGATTAGTAGATCTTGAGGCTCCCAGTCTCTCTGCGTATATCCAAAAGAGATTTGAATCCAGTAGATACAGATTCAAGGTTTTGTTGGTCCTGCAGCTCAGACCAGTAATGTTAGTGCCACTAATATGAAGGTCAGGAATAAAACAATTCCTTTCCTCAATGTGAGGAATAGAATGTTGGGTGTTATCTTTCTTCCCATGGGAAGAAAATGCGACTTTGGGAGTCTGAAAGATGGTCTTCTCAGAACTAATGAGACTTAAAAAATGCCTGTTTACTGTCCTGCAACATGCAGTGTAATAGCTAAAGGGACTATAGAAACTTAAGAAATTGCTGCATTCTATGGTATTTGATATAACTTGAAAAAAGGTATGTTCCTGGAGGTAGAAAGAGTCCAAAGCTGCTTCTATCTCTAAAAAGTTACAGTGTGGCACATGAACTTTATTTGGTTTGACACCAAGTGTCTGGTTAATACAAAGCTCACAGACATTGTGAGTTCTGGATATTGAATGCCACTGTGGAAGCACCACTGTGTTACAACATGGGTACTTGGTTATAGAAAATGTTTCTGATAATTTCATATATGCATCTGGTACAGAGGAGTCGGAAACTGGTGAATCAGTGTCTCCGAAGCGTTGAAGATCTGGCTCAGCTGCCTGGCTTTTATTACAGTTGTGGTATTCCAAGGCCACTTTGGTAATCTAGAGGAAAAAAAATCAAAAGGTCAAGATTAACTGTACACTGTTCTCTTGAATGCAGTTATCCTTTCAGGTCTTACAACATACATGCAATTAAGAGATGGAATCTCAGAAACAGCAAGTTGACTATTCTTCTTCATTCTTTTTAGAGAGACTCCAATTATAGGAGACTCCAACGATAATAAAGTTCAATTTTTAGGTATTTCAGCATCTAAGAATCAGATGTACAGAACAAAAACTTTAGAATTTTTTCAGTCAGCTACACTGATGTTAAGGTCCTCTTTGCATCATATTTATAACAGTGCAGTAACACTACATTTTAAGGTTAAATTCCATGACATGAAGCATTAATCAGTACAGGTTCCTGAAATTCCCTTATTTTCCAATACAAAGAGTAAATTAATAAAGGCATTCCCATATGAAAAGGGAATAGATTTTTACTGGTACAGGTAATGCACAAATTGTGTAACAATCGCTAACAGTGCTGAAACAAGGTAAGTATTCTCCCAGTCATGGGTATGTAATTGTAATACTACAGGTGTACTTTGCATACAGTAGAGAAATGAAGAAGAAGGAAAAGAGGAAAAAAGAAAAAAGCCTGCCTCTCAGTGCAAACATTCCTGTGCTGCACCACCATTTGTTCTCCATAGCCAAGGGGAAACAAGCAACAAAAAAGGCACATGTATGGGCCATAGAAGGAAGTCCCTTTCTAGGAGAAAAGTAACAGAACATGGAAGAAAGGAAAATGGGAAAGAATCCTCACCTATCAAACATAACCAAAATACAGAACATAAAAATACTGCTTACACAATAGCACTTTAATAGGAAAGACTGTAATTATCAAAGGGATGTTGTTGAAGTGTCACATCTATTGGGGTGCTGTGTCACAGGACCATTAGTATTAAGACACAGCAACACTTGGTTACAGTCTTTAAGAATTTGTTAGTTGCTTTCATCCTGAAAATGCTCAATTAAATACTTAAAAGAAACGTGACTTCTTGTACTACAACCTCGCCTGAAGATTGACTACCTACATAGAGAAATATGAGAAGAAATTATGAACAGAAAAACAGATTTGTGATGAGAAATCTCATTTTAGTGAGCTACCATCAGGAAAAAAAAAATTGCTTTCAGGGCTTTCAACATAAAACTTGACAGCCTTGTTCTTTGCAACTGCCTTACAGTCAAGTGGTTTCATTGCTTCATGAAAACCACATGACAGATACAGTAAACATCTCTTCCTGTAGTAAACAGATTGCATAACATCTCTCTAAAAGTGAAGATATACAAGATCAACTGGAGTATTCTGTATCTCGTTTCACCTTTTGATATAGATAAATACTGTTATTTAACAGAATGAAACCTGAAACAGAGTATCTTAGGTGGCACTGATTTCTTCCAAGTAGAGTGGCACAGCTTACTAGAATGTTACAGCATCACTGAATTAAGACTGTCAAAAATAAAAGGTTAGTACAAAAAATCCTCACAGTTCTTTTCCAGTCTTCCCACAAAGAATTCCCTAATCTTGTAGCAATCTAGCTTTTATTATTTCTATTTCTAGTTTGCCTAAATATTGTATCATAAGTTATTTACACATTCTTTCCCATTGCTTCAGCTACTACAATATTCACTAGGCCTCTTTATGGAAATCACACTCCAGGACATAGATGCTATGTATGTAAGTCAGCATTGCCACCAAAATTTCACCCTGCTTTTCATCTCCCACAGATGCTTGTTCCTTGTTCCACACTGTCCTTGGTGCTATGCAATCACTGCTGTGATGTGCAGCTCTATGATATACTACATGGGACAATGGCTTCCAGCTGAAAAATAGCCAGGGGAAAAAAATTATTTTTCAGCCAAGTTAGTTTCCCTATCTCAATTACTGCACAGCTACACAAACTCCTGTCCTAGGCAGCTCAGAAACAGAAATAATGGCAGAGGAAGAGAAAACTGGAAAGTGACTAAGGAACACACAGGATATAAAAATCAGATTAGCTCTGAGCAGTGTCAGCTGGGCTACATTTCAAATAACACTGGTTGAAAAAAAAAGGTGCATTCTTCCTTGCATAAACACCTCTGGAAAGACAGAAGGAGAGGATAAATAGAACAAATTGAACAAGTCCTGCAATACTCAATACATTCTTGCTTTTCTGTTTGAGCCCTGTCAGGTGGAACAGAAAACCAAAGATGTGCATCTCTCACACAGCACTCACCACAACAAGAAGAAAGTCAAGGGAAACAGTTAGGTGCTTGTTCTAGACTGTTGACATGAGACAAAGGCATGGTGTGCAAGCTGCAAACCAGTGTAAGAGCATTGTGATAACACAGCTTGAGAAGGTGTTTTTAAACAAAACTGAGTACTCAGGAAAGTGAAATAAAATGAGATAAATATCACCACTAGGCTCAGCACTCTGACTGGAGTCCTCAAGTTCTAGTACTTCTGAAAAAAATTATTTTACTTACTTCATCTAGAAGAGGGTGGATTTCTGCTAAGGGATTGTAAGGTATAAATATGAGAAGTGCTGGTCCTTTCTTCAGCTCATTGTTTAGAAGAAGGCTTTTTCCACCATGTGGCCTCAGCCAGCGTATGAGCATCTCTCGATTTTCCAAAGCCCACTTGCAAATGTTCTCAGCAGTATAGTTCATGGGGTCATTTGGATAGATCTTGAAGGGGGGAAAAAATAATTTGTCCTCACTTGGTTTAGTAATAAATGTTGTTCTCAAATATGGCATGCTCTGTTACTGTAACACCTAAAGCTCTCTTTCTAAATTCAATTACACTATTCAGCAAGCTTCAGCATTTCATATATCCTTTCCCTTTGGGAAATGTTTCCAAATGCTCATCAGATCAGCGTAACACACCATTTTCAGGCAAAAAGTATTCTAATAGGGAAGCTCCTCTTTCTTTTAGCACGTTTTTATAATCTTTACTCTTCCCACTAGTATAGCTTTTTTTAGAAGTGAAAGACCTCAGTCTGTTAAGTTGGTTTCATCACATATCTGAATACACAGCATATTAAAAAACTTTTTTCACTACTCATTCACCATATTAACTAATTTTAAATTAGTCTTGTCAAGAACTCAATATCAAGACTGCATTTAAAACTTGTATTTCTTATTATTCAATGTGGGGAAAATAAATACATAACAAGTGCTCACAGGTTCTAGAATAATTTTAATAAATTAAGGCAAGTTTATCTTAAATCATTTGCACAGATAAAATTAGTTTTACGTATTTACCAGTAATTTAACCTGGAAAAAAAAAAAAAAAAATCTGTTTTCCCTAGTCTCAATTGAACAAAACACATGTTACAATACTTACTTTCAGAGTTTTATCTATCTCAAACAGCAAACTTCAAAGTTAGTATTTTCAGTCTTAGTCTTCCATAAATGAGGCACATGGATTAAAAGTTACTATGAATTTTCAATTAAATTAATTTGCATGATTTTTATCATCAGTGTTAATGGTACCTTTAAACCAAAATGCAAGTTTTTTGCACTATTTCTACTATCCCTCCACAAAATCTCTTTTTCCATATGCTCACTCAAGGAGCCTCCTAATTCTGACCCACTGAAAGAGGTATAAACTTCAGGAAAAAAATCTTTGTATAGTCATTTCTGAGAAACTTGGGGTTTTGTTTGATAGAGACAATCAGCTTGGGTCTTACTAGAACAGCTGCTGACTGGCAAAAATGAAAATTTGTATTACTGTATAAAAACATCGTTCTTAAGCATCCTGTATCCTAAAGCTCTGTGAAACATTTATTCATGGTCTAACATAACAGAGCTTCAATCTCCAAGTACTGTCCCAGAGCCACTACAACATAAATAAAACACTCACAAGAGAAGTGTTGGCGTGCCTGTGCAGGTACACAGTGCCTGAATGCACCAAGGAGATCTCCTCTGCAACACGTCTGTCCGTGATCACTCCAAAGCGCAGTGTCCCAAGGTAATCTGAAAGGGCCAGTGTTCAGGGGTTAAATACATTACATACCCTGAACTTCTCTCCTCAAAGCCTTAGAAGAACACCTTAAAACCAAAACATAGAACATTACTGTGTAAAGCCAGAGAAATCTGACTGAATAGCAACTGCCAATACTGGCGATTAAGTGAGGCAGAAGAAAGATGACAAGAGCAGGCAGGAAGAAGAAACATGCTCCTCTTCTGCACTCAGGTTACAGAGAATGTTAACCTGAACTGTCCCATTTCTTGGTTTGCTTATTAAATATAGAATCTACTATCACAGATGCCCCTTGCTACATGTTATGGCATCTCAAAAGACAAGATGAGATATACATAGAAGAAAAAGGTATGAACAGTGACTGTTTAGATGATGTACACTTACAGTAGATGTATATTATTTAAATAAATATTATAGCATTTCTGTATTTCTAAATATGCACACATAAGGATAGAATGTTTCTCATCTTTATGTTGCAAGGAGCTATCCCAACATATAAATGGGGAAATGACAGAACAAAATCTAGGCAGACGGGTTGTGTGCCATATATCAATCAGTGGCACAGTAAAAATCAGAATAACAATATCAATTTCCTTAATTTGCTGACAGGAAGAAACAGCCATAAAATATGCTAATCTAGACTTTATTAAAGTTCTATCCAGAATTTATGAATTATATTCAAATATTGCATATTTAAACACAAGATGTTTTGGATTTTAGATTACTAATGCAAAACACCAGGGGCAGAAAGTCCTTCTCCTCACACTACCTTGTACCAGCTCTGTAACTCTGTCCAGGAAGGGACTTTGCTGAACTGAGTCGCTAAGGGCTGGCAAAGTCACATTCATCCTAATGCCTCTGAACCTGACATTTCAAATGTTGCACAAGACAAATACTCTCAAATTTGTCATATGTTACAGCCACATATTTAGGTTTTCGAGGAAACTCTGTCTTAAAGCATCCTTGAACAGCAGCCTGTCATATACTTCATTCCCTGATGGCCAAACACATGCCAAGCCTTTTATGTAAGCAATCCTTGCACTGTAATAAGACAGTCTCATAATTATATCAACATCAAGAAAGACTCAGAAGGGATTAATTCCCAATTTACAAAATGTTGCAAAGAACTACTGAAGCATATATACATAACTCATTCACAGATCACTTTAATCATGAAAATGAAGTTTTTACCTTTCTTTAATGAATGCAATGCTGAAGTGAAGAATGTTAAATAACCAGGTGGTTGAGGTGAAGCATTGAACTCAAAAAACCCTAGAACTCCAGGCTGAAATAATAAGAATTAGAGGCAGTTAAGCTATTTTCAAGTATAAAATACACAGGGCACAGCAATTATTTACCTACAGTAAAACACAACAGATTTTAGAAGGTCAACAATGTTTACAGAAGAAGTCACCTTGTACTGCAAGAAAAAAAATTAATATTAAAAGACTGAATGGAAATAAATTCTAAAGTTGTCATTCAAAAGCTATGCATAAGAGAGGGTTTTTATGATTGCAGATGCCTAAGTTTCAAACCACATATTTCCTATGCTAGCTCCTAAAGTCCACCAAAAATAAAATTAGTATTTGCTTTACAACTATTTTGAGTCAGTACTAGCCAAGAACCATAAGCATCTTAAAGACTTCTTTTAGAACTGGAGTATCAAATGTGATTTTTCAGTGTATAAACAACTTAAATAGTAACATCTTAATTGCTCACTATGTTGCACATAATTAGCAACTAAGCAACTACATATGAACTCACACGTTTTGTGTGTAAATACCTGACCTGCAAAGCCAACCTCTCATCCCATCATTAAGGTACCAGTCACTCTAAATTCTTCCAGGATATCCCGCAGGAGTCAAGTGAGAGACCAGCTGCACAAAAATAATGAACGAGCCCCATATCCCACCTGCATATTCATAAACTTCTTCAAATTGCCAAATAAACAACTGAAAATTTAGAAGACTCATCCCTAAGTAAGCCTATTGACTTTGCCAGGTATGAAGCCTGAATGGCTTCCTATTAAACTCAGGAAGAGAATCTGGGAGAAGCTGACTTGGAACAGAGAGGTGTGTAGTCTTTAAACTTCTCTCGTTCCAAAATTTTAAACCCAAAACTTAATTGAAATTTTGGAAGAAAATATAATCCATTTAAATTTATTATTAATTATGGGGTTTAACTCATCACTCAAATTGACTTAATAAACTTGCAGGACAAGTGATGGAATACGGTTATTTTGTGTTATTTGTTTCCTGGTTGCACCAGTGAATACAGAAACGGCCACAGAATGGAAGAACAGTATAGGGATTGCTGTAGAATAAGATGACACACTGATCATCCATTTGTTTGGCAAATATTTTCCCATATAAATATTTTCATTTAGTATTTCAGAGGCTGCTTTATTTTTTTTTTGTAGAGTTCTAGATGCAATTTTTAAAATTTATTTTTAAAATATGAGCACATATTTTACCCATTACTGTCGTTAGTGATATAAATTCAGTTATTCATACCAGCCACATGAATTGAGCTAATCCAGTGTAAATTAGCAGTCTTGGGATGTTCACCAATAACAACACTGCCCATTCCAACTAATGACCTGCTATTTTTAGGCAGGAATTATCTTTCATGCAGGAATGCTAACCACAAGATATTTATTAATAAAAATTCCTTATGAGGTACCCCAAGAAAATGTTCAATAATAAAAATAAGATACGAGCAATTAATGAAATGTCTGCAATAGCAATTATAAAGAAAAAAAATAAACATAAATAAAACAGAAGTGAAAACATACAGCAAAATAATAGTACCCATTCTTCATTTTAAACCAACAAACAGGTTAGTAATTAATGTTCATCTTTCTTCCAGTACCAAATTAAGACACTAAAACAAAACAACCCCTTATAAAAAAATTTCTAAAGCATTCAAGTGAACCAAATAAAGGAGATAGATTAGTTTCCCATTTTCTAGGATCCTTTTTGAATGTACACAGCAAACTTAAAGCCTCAGTGAATGAAAGAAGAGTCAGAAGTGACAGTAAAATGTGACAAGAAGCCAAATGTCAGATCTATAAGTATTTAGGAAGTTATTAAAAAAGATGATGTTCTGACTCTGACACCAGTTCCTTTATACACCAGTAGCAGCTCAAGAATTCCAGATTGTGAAGAGTAAGATGTTGCCATGAGACAGTTCTGGAAAATGTTTTCTCAATAAGAAAACATTGGCATATAGTATTAGCATATATTCTCACAGTACAATCAGTGATCTGCTTAATGTCCTTTCAGTGATTATCCCAGAATATTTAAAATTTCCCCTGTTACAGGCTGCAATCATACATACAAGGGAAGTGTCTAAAATACTGTGCTGCTTCTCAAGTACCATACAAATTTTCCTGCTCTGCTCTCAGAATGAAGAGATTCACTTGCTAATACAAACTACTGGGTTCATTTGAACAAAATTGAACACTTCCAGATGCTAGCAACTAACACGGAATCTTGCTCTGTACAAGATTCAAGTCTTAGAGGAGAGGTATCTCAATGTAAATAAGAAGTTCCTTGTTTTGAATACAAGTATGCTGAGAGGAGTTTGACAGCAGCAACTCCCATTTCCTTTCACATAAGAACCTCTAAACAATCAACAACTGGTGCAGCAAAAGCTACCTACATGTACTTCAGGTGGGCATCTACCTGCAAGCTGTTATTGAAGATCAGCAGCTTCCAGGCAGCTATCTGTGTGGAGTTATGGCTATCTTCATGCAGGCAGATCAGAATAATCTGCTCAACAGAATATCACTTGCTGCTATATAAAGTTGGAGGATAAAGTAGTAGAATGTAACACAGAGATAGTTTAAAGATGCTGGATTAGGAGCACTGGCATTGCTCGAGGGGAGCACAGTGGAAATTTTCTTCCCATGGAACAGTTTTTAGCACCTGTCTCAAACCGAGTGCCTGCAGAAGTGGTTTTGGAACAAACCTGAAAGACTTCTATAGTGAAGTCATTAGCACCATCTCCTAATGAAACCTGTATATAGAAATACAAAATCATTAACTGTAGCGTAGCCTATTTCTTGCTTGGTTTCTAAACCAGAGGAATGGAAAGTGATGTGTGATGCCCATTAAATCAAGTAACAGACTCCATGAGAATCCCAACAATTACAGAACAGCAAATCCACAGAAAATTTAAGAATTAACAGAGATCTTCAGGTATTTCTTACTGGACAACAGCCAGCATGGCTTTATTACTGAACCATGCCTCAAGTCTATCACAATTCTTTGAAGGAATAAGTAAGCATGTAGATGACAGATGCAGTTTACTGTAATTCCTCAAAAGCCTACAAGAAATTACCAAACATGCTGGAAGAATCTAAGGTGATAAGGAACAACACAGAAGGTCTATTTCTAGATTTGTAGAAAAGACAGAAAACTACAGATCGAAGTTACCATTTTTCCCACACAGATAGGCAGGCAGGATGTGTACTGATGCTCATATCTTTCAACAGTTCTGTAAACACTTTTGAAAAGGGAGGGAAGGGTGAGGAACAAAATTTGCACAGGTTATTGGGAATCATCAAAAGTGCAGGTGACTCAGGAAAGTAGCAGGAGAGTATTAAATGATCATGCAGTGAAAGAGCTCTGAAATGTGAAGTAATGAGAACAAAGACCAGGAAAAAAAAAACACAGCTACTGATTAGCTTTTACAATTAGATAAACACTTTCACTACTCAATTATTTCTAATCTGATTTATATTTATTTTTATGTTTTGGCTAGATTGCACTGAGGTAAGGGAGACTTTTTTTTTTCCAGAATCTCAGACCTGTGCAGGCAAGCAATTCCTGCCTCATTTCATCTGTGAGCACAAGAAAGGAAACAGCAGGAGGAATGTGTTACATCTGGGGAACAGCCAGCATTACATACCACTAATTCTACACTGTAGAAATGCAAAGAAACTGCTGACTGATATCCAATTAACTGAATTTACAGGTAAAAGACTGTTCATTTTCTGATGACATTAAAAATGTCGTGTACCCAGAACTGAACGCAAATTCTGACACACTCTGCACCCCACTACCCCACCCAATAGCAAGCTATTAAGTAAAATTCACTTCTGGGTCAGACCCTGCACAGCTGGTCAATGCTGAAGGAGTGTTTCTGCACAACCAGAGCAAAGGAGAAAGCTGATACTGTGTTGTGACACACACCAGCTACCTCCCAGGTAGACCACCTCCTCTCCTGAAGCCAGAAAATGATGAGCTCCCTGGGCACATTGAACGTTCCTAAGTGGAGGAAGCTTTTTGCTGAACTGCAGGAGCTGCATGTTTTCTTCCTGTGTGCCTGGGCAGGATGAGGCCATTTCTAACAGCTGGGTTAGTCAGATGAGGAACAAGACACGCCGGTTTGGATTGAAATGAAACTGTTACATCTCTGCAGTTAAAAGACCACAAGAAGTCTGACCATAGGTACTTGCAGGTCCCTGGAGTTACAGTAGGAACTAGGTTATCTTTCTCCTGATATAATCCAGATCTTCCTACAACATTCCAAGATTTTAAGTGCTTTCCAAGTAATATTTTTTCCTTGCTCTTATCCATTAAATTCTGATTCTTATCTCATCCTAGTTTTGCACCAGTATCATTCCAAAACCACAAAAAAAAAAAAACCACCTGAAGTAGTAACAGAAAGTGCAGAATCTTTTAATTTTTGAGTCTTCACATAGGATTTTTTTCATGAGGTTTGAGCGCCCTCTTTTGAGAGCAATACAGAACCTCATGGTGTTCACTATTCGGTCGAGGAATGGACATAACAACACATAACTAACATCACTTGCTCTTACAGTTAGCTGGATTCTGCTCATCAGCATTTCTGAGCAACAAAACCATGCTAATTAACATTTCAATACCAGATAAAATACTGCTAGATTGCAGTATCTTTTGGTGTGGTCCAACTTACCAAAAAATGCTTTCAATGTTTGTCTTGGTACCTTTACAGTATTCCACAAGACTGCAAATTAGATACTGATGATGACAAATCTTTCACAAAATACTCTGACCTTCAAATTAATTGCCTTTTCAATGAAGAAATCACAAAAACCTGATCAAGCAGCAAACAGTGGCCAAAATACCCACACCAAAGTCTGTCTTTTACAGTACTCTTTCATCTTTCCCTTCTGCTAAAAATGAACATTTTTAATACATAAAAGATCAAAAATTGAAGGAAGATAGAAGCCAAGGCACTGAAAATAGCAATTAGTTTGTGCCACACATGCACTTCCTCTAACCTACTTTTCAAACTTTCTCACTTGTTAAACACAGGAGTCATCTCCTGGACTGCTTCTTCTCCTACAAAAGGCATAAACTTCCTCAATTTGCATGGAAAACAGTTAGAAACATGAACATTTCTAACTGTTTAAAATTATGAAAAAGCATGTTTATTTTTGGTTTAAAAGTAACTTTTCCTTTGTGCCTATGTTTCCCTCTCCATCCATCTTCATATACAGTTTCCTATTTCTTAGGTCTGCTCTGTGTCCCAACTCCTGACCACTCATCATTTGCTTTTCTCCCTGCACTCAGCTGGACCTGCACTAGCCAATGCCATTCACTGAATGGATCTTACTGCATGAGTTGGTTGTTATTTTTGCATTCCCCCTCTCCTCCTCGTGCTTAACATTACAGAGAAAAGACACTGAGCACCTAGTGCCACAGACTGGGAAATAATCTCAGCCTTAACTGACTGCAGGGCAGTATGACAGATCAGACTCTATTCTTGGTCCATTCCAGAAAAAAGAACCAACAAATGCTGAACATAGACAGAGATTGGGGATTTGGAACCACAGAATTTGAAACACAGGAGGAAAGACAGCTTGAACACAGAAATAAAAATACCTGATCAATTGCTAAGCTCTACTTAAAAAAATATTTTCTGGTTCCCCCATAAATTTGTCTGTTAGTCTTTTTCCAACACGGGAAAACTCAACCCACAAAGAGCTCCTGAACTGAAGTGTGAACAGCACAGCACCTGCCCATGGTAACTGCCAGCGTGCATCCCCTTAGGGTGTGGCAGGTGCCACCGAGCCCCACAGGCCCTGCTCCACCCTGCCACAGCACCAGCCCCTGCAGCACAGCTGACTCCAAGAGGAACTCGGCTTCACTCACTTCAAGCCCCTCGCGTCTTTTGGCCACTACCACAGCACCTGACTCCAACAGCCTGGGGTCTGGTAAGATCATGGCATTTCTCCATTGTGCACTACAGAAATGAACAGCTATAAAGGGATTATAAATGGTTGTAAGAGCAGTTTGTCTAATAGGAAGTTACCAATCCACTAGCATTGCTATGAGTCTTGGCACCTCTGAACACAACAGCTCAAAACTTAAGAGAACACCATGTACCAGTGGATCAAGTTCATGAAGTTACAGCATACAAAGTGGTTAGGAGCCATTATTTCAACTGATTGCACGTTTGTTTTTACTTAGCAGATGTATCTTATTGGAAAGGTTTAATATTTCTTGAAAAATTAAAGCAATGATTATATATTTCTCAAATGCCTTCCCAACTTATATTGCAAGATTTTTACGGAAAGATTTTTCCCTTCTTTCTGTTTCATATGAAACTTTTTGGTGACGTAGCAACTTTGATTGTTGTGTGTACATACTAAGGCACTGTAAATTGAGAGCATCACAGAACTGTAAGAGTCGCTATACAGGGAACCAACATTATGAATTTGTCATTTCATTTTTTAATGATTTTAACAAATTTACAGGGCACTGATTTCAGAATCCTGGAAATAAACTAGTACTTTGGAGCAGATCAAATTTAACTGTAAAACAAATCAAATTCTTTCTGAACCACAGTGGTAAAGCTAGAGAAGAGAGATAAGTACCTCATAATTTGAGAGGAAATCTAGCAATTTTGATCGAGACGAGATGTAGAGTAGTGGTGTCATCACCCGGCGAACAAACTTTTCAATATAAACAGCACTCATTGGGCCTTTGTATTCAATTGGTCCAAAACTAGTACCAAAAAGAATAATAAAACATTAAGACTTAAATTAACAATAAAGAGAGTCCCTCCTGGGGGTGGCAGAGACAGGAGTTAGATAGACAGCACGCTCAGCCTCTGGGGAATTGCTCTCTGTGTGAATTAACGGTGGCTTCTGTGACTGGCAGGGGAGTTGTGTCACCAAACCTGAAGTACAGCACAGAAACTGCAGTGACCCTAATGCAGTGCCTGTGGGTAGGTGCAGTGGGCTGGTGGGGACCAACAGTGGAAGGGATGGAGACCACCTCCAAGTCCCATAAAAGAAGTTGGTAAAATGCAGGTACTTATTATATGATCATATCTTTCTCTTTCATTCAGAGTAAATACACGTGACTTAAAAATACAGATCTGAAAAATGTAGCTATTTTCACTTGATTTTTAAAAATCTTTATAAAAAGTTCAAACAGTATCAATCTGAAAAGGTGCAATGTTTTTGCATAGACTTTCAAGTAGCACTTAAAGCAGGGACAAATCCAGTCATACCACTGATGAACAGACTGAGGGGGTCCACCGTTTCTCCCCCAGCCATCTCATCGAGAAGCTCACACCACACTAGGTAGTGCTAAAACAGAATGTGGGCCAGGCCTTATGGCTACTACTTCCAGAGAACCCCCTTCATCCCCTTGAAATCTTGCATCTGATTTACTATCATTAGGTTGGACACAGCATCACGGTCCAAAATGAAATCAAAGAAAAAAGCACAAGGAGTTAGTTTGTTCCCACTGAAGAATTTAATGTGATGCATTTTTTTAATCTAGTTTATAAATACAGACACTCTGAAAAACATCCAGCTCGCTCTGAAATACCTACACTCAGATACTTTGAGATAGTATTCTAGATCCCAGTAGAGCATTCTACATCTTACACTGGTTTATTACAAACCTTTGTGTGAACAGCAACTTGCATTTCTTCAGCATGTCACGTGCCCAGTATGCAATGCTCAGGGTTTAATGTCTCAGGCCTGAGGGGTGCATTGCCCTTTGGGGGGTTTATGAAGTATCAGTACAAACGTAATTCTCATCTTGCTGCAACTCTGTTTAAGGTTACTTGTAATACTTAAGTGTATCCCTTTTATTGCATTGTAATTTCAAGATCAAACAAGTTTAAGTCAATGTGCATCCAAGTGGGACTGTTGTTTTTTTTTTTTTAATTACAGTTTGAATTATGCCAGTGCCATCTGGTTTCTTCCAAGTTCAGCTGACAAAGATCAGGATTATTCCTCCTCAATACATAAATCCTCCCAAAAACCAAAATCAGCCTCTGTAATGGAAGAGGGCTGCTGTTCAAGACTAGAGTACACAAGAAAAATGCAAGTGTTGAACTACACATCATCCAGCTCTATCATACCTAGCATTGAAAATGTTTCCTTACCTTCTGCTCCACATAAAAAGAGAGAGAAAAAGGTAATAAAAAAAAAAAAGTGAGATTATATAAAATTTTACACAGTGATATCTCAACATTTGGAGCATTCAAATTTAGAAGAAAATCTTCAGTATACAGTGCCATTTAAATATGCACTTGAATCCCACTAACTTCAATAGCCCTAAAGTATATACTTTATTGCTGTCACAAATAGGACCAGTTGATATGATCCATCTACAGAGCAAGCATAAACCTGAAACTACTATGTAAATCTGAATTCTTTGCTTTTAACTGGAGGCAGAACTTCCAGGAGATGCACAGGCAAGAGAAAAGTTCCTTAAGGATCAAGAATTGCACAGTACATCATTTAACTGACACTTACAGCCCTTCTTGACACTTAGGTTGCATAGTGGATAAGCTTCACCCAAAATCTCCTCCTCTACAACTATTGACTATAGCCATAATTATAACATTTTCAAAACAGAAAATTCTATACAATATCTGTTTCCCAAATAATAGCAAAAAACCCAGACTGTGTGCAAGAAATCTTACCTCCGATGGTATAAGTGTATCACAGGAAAATAAAAGAAATGCTTCTGCTTCCTACATTTCCCCTGGTTCCACCAGCAATTTACAGCCACAAACAGCACCTGCAAAACAGGTAAAAATTCACAGCTAACAAAGCACATTACCTTGACCTTTGTTATCTAACATGTATTTTTTCCAATCCATTCCATCTGCTATTTTCAGTCTCTTCTCAGCTAAGTTTTCCATATCTGCTCCTCTTAATTCTGTCACACAAGACTTTTTTTTTTTGTCATTTTGCAGCAGCAATCCTTTCTAATCTTCTTTCTAGTTTTCAAGTTTCTTAATCTAAATCCTTCAAATTTATGAACTGGATTAATTACTTTTTCTGCAGAGTGGAGCTCAATGAGCAGAGGTTTAGGATAGCTGTACCTGTGAATTGTTCACAGGTAACCAACTGCTAGAAAGTTGCAGTGCTATGGCTGCAATCTTACACGATTACCAGTGTCTCCAAGGATCCTGGAACTGGCAGCAAACACCCTGCAATTTCTGTCTGAAGGCAGGTGAATAAATCTGAGAACCCTTTACAAGAAGACCCCTGTAGATCTCCCCATGCAGGAGCAGAAATAAGACAGCTGAGCAGGATCACAGGTTTTGTCCATTTTCTCTAACACTGTATGTTAAGTTAAAATTAAGAAAACTGGCTGAGTTGCTCTAAAATGTGAGCTTTCAAGTCCTACTGGTGCCCATGGGATGTCAGAAATTTGCATTGGCTTGGAGACTGCAAAGCTGAAAGGTCATGTTTAAGATTTGTATCTTCTCTGGAGTTACCTGGTCTGACAACCTGCTAGCCACACGTGCTATCTCTTCTCTTGCTGCAATGGACTGGCCACACCATGGCGCGTAGAAAAAATACAGCACGATTTCTGAGTCCTGACGAAGGTGATCTGCATAGTCCAACTGTCCCCGAAAAAGATCAATGACTGGAGATCTTGTGGAGAAAAAGTTCACTGGAAGCTTTGCTGGCATTGTTACATCTTTTGCTCTGCTGCAGGAAGGAAATTAAGAGTGGTTATTGAGACTATCCAGCAGTAGTTTACAGTGTGCCCAAAGCCCTGATTTTTAATCTTAGCTTTTAACATTTGTACCTCAGGTAACAGCATCCTGATAGAAGAAGAGACACTGGTCATAACGTTTTGTGATCTGATGTTTATATAAAGGGAGACTACTATCTTGCCTTACACTTTGCTTTAAAATATTCTACACTTCTGTTCTATTATACTGTATTAGAAAACAAAAACTGTAAACGTGTGTTATTTTACTGATTGGAGCAGGGACTGCAAACTGTTCAGGATAGATTTCCTCTTCAATGCCAGGACAGTATCAACAAATGGAGTCTCCATTTGGAGATTATGACAGATTAAGTTTCTTAAAAGAAATGTTTGACCGGTAATACCAAGAATGTGAATCAAATACTCAGGAAATCCTCTTCTACCAAATCAGCAATCAAACAATCCACAACCTGGCATTTCCAAGGTGTTAACAAGTTGTTATGGTATAAACTGCCTTAAATGCAAACGAATGATCGTATTCTCTTTTCTATATTTTCTCAATTCCAAAACTTTCCACTCACTATATTCATACTGGAGCAGGGCAGATTGAAAACCGGCCCCACCACTGTAATGCTCGAATTTGCCACAGTTCCTTATGCAACAGCAAGCTTTAGGAAAGACTTTTTATTCCTTTGCCTTGTGTCACAATAAACAGTTAATACAAAGAACCTTTCCTCTGTTATTTGATCCTTCTCAGGTTTTAGTAATTGTGACAAAATTATTGAGCTCCAAACACTGTCAAATTCACATGTTAAGTAACCTCCTAACAGTGCTGCCACATTTTCAAACTTCACAATCATTTTAGTTTGTTAGAAGTACCTTTGTTTTTACTAGGCAGACCCACAAAAGCCCTGGCTCTTCTCTCATTTCCAAGTTAATAATCACACAACATTTAAAAGCTCAACTTTTAACAACCACTCCTAGTATATTTTCTACAAGTTATGGAAATTCGTAAATCATATGTAAGAGACAATACTTGCTTCAAAATCCAGAATTTTGAAAATATTAACTGGTTCCTCATGTTTACAAGTCATCAATTCCACAAAATTATGTTTTGATACAGATGGCCAAAAATCTAGTTTCTTCTGTGGACTTCTACCTTTGTTCCTTCCCTTGCCTCCCAATCAGTAATGTAGCACCTCCCTCCCCAAGCCTTAGGTTCTTATGCCACCTCACAACCAGCACCTGGTTCCCTCCCAGTTCTGCACCCTGTACTTATCCAGGCTGCTGGCTTCTTCCCCCAATTCCTCACTGCCAGCTGGCCAGGACACGGCAGGGGTGTGCTACAGCTCTAACTCACAGACCAGCACACACCCAGAGCTGCTGAACGCGGAACACGGCAGCTGCGTCCTCACCTCACAGCAGCACACACTTCTGCAGAGGCACGGACTAGAACTTCTCTTCCTCAACTAGTTTAATGAAAATGGACAAACTAAATACGTTTAAAACCTCTGCTTCCTCAACTGAATTCAACTGGAAGTGGACAACTGGTTCAAGAACTACAGCATAAGCCTTAAAAATGAGATATGAAATTGGCTCCAAGTTGCAAGAAAGTGTAAAACAGACCTACAAAAGTTCCATGTCATGGATGAGCCAGGAACTACACAGCTACCTTCAAATGGGAAAGAAACTCCAAAAGTTATTAAAAGAACCCAATCAACAGTTACCAGCTTCTTTAGCTTATTTGCTCAGTAGTTCCTCTCTCTGCAATGCTAAATGCATAACAGAATACTTTTACATAACCTCCAGGTTTACAAAGAGAATAGGGCTCTGAACTCCTAAAAATTATACAAGTACAAACTGAAGATTACATAATAAACAATTACACAAACATAGTAATCACATACTGTTTGTTATAACACTGATTGCATTATTCACCTGCTGCACAGAGCATATAAAAACTTTTTTCAGCAGAACAGCCTGGTAATAAAGGACAGCACACGCAAGTGCCTGTAGGCTCAGCTCAGCCTCTTTAACTGCAAGGTCCTTAGGGTGGGGTTGTCTAGAAAGACATTTGCATAGTGCCAGAAATAACTCAGGTTCAAAACCCCAGGATTTCAATTATAAAACGTCAGGTCAGGCTTCATTTGGCTATTCCTTGAGACACTATAAACCTGCAATAACTGAAACCCTACTGACAGATTGCCTTGAAGTAAAGGAATTTTTCCTTCCCATACTTTTTATCCATCCGTCTCAAAAGTTACATGTTGGAATCACAGTAACTGTACTCTGGTGCTGAGACTTGCCTGCAAACTGTACTAAAGTGTGGCAAGAAACTCTGTACTGTAGTCATAGGTAACGTGCAATTAACTGTCCTCCGAATTGCATGTGGCATTTTTACACTTGAACTACCCATGTTGCTGACAGTGACAGGACAGGGAATGCTCTTCTGGTATTGTCTACTTAACCATCATCTGAAAAGCCAAAGCCCTTTAATCACAGTTCCTGTACAGAAAACAGGGTGGCAAGAAGCACATTCCATTTGTAAGTTTTCAAACGCAGCTAGCAGTAAAATGAAAGGAACATGTAGGTTTTAAGTAAAGGAGAGCAGGAAGAAAACAAAAACATAAGATGTAAATTTATTTTTGGTTTTTTTTGCAATGGACAATGAAACAGGGAGATCATTAAGTTCAAAAATCCTTCATGACACATTCTGTAATATGGCAAGTGCTTTACACTGCCATCTAAATTATCTGGTCACTGTGAAGAAGAGACTACTGAAAAAAGGCACTGCTGCTCACAGAGAAATTCATTCATGGACTTAAAATTCACAGCAATTCAAATAACAGGACCCCAGTGGACAGGTGAGAAAAGGTGGCCTTAGTTATTTTCAGAAACATTACCTGTGAATCAAATACTTCTTGGAATAAATCAGATTCTGCCTACTCCTACTGCCAAAACCAAACTCCAAATACAGTAGATGTACTTAATATAGTATGACTTGAAGCACTCATCTTGACCTAAAACCCACCCAGAACATTCGGATCCCAGTTTAGGCTCCAGAAAGGAGCTGCCCAGCCGCAGCACAGTTCCATGCCTCCAGCGTATCACCCAACCCTTCCTATGCTTCCAGCTACAAACATCACCCGGATCCACATGCTCCGTACCCGTGTATGCCAGGCTTTCAGCAAACAAGAACCAAAGAGAATTTTCCAGCGAAGAAAGGTCCGCCTTCCAAGAGGAGCTCCCCCAGACTGGGTGAAGAGCTGCCAAGCACCCCTCTGTCTGAAGCAGGTGCAGGCCATGGGGGTGCGCACGCTACCGCACGCTACCTCCGGCGGAGACCCG